TAGCTTCCAAGATCAGATGGGATCTGGTGCCTTTAGGGTATTTAGACCATTCTGAGCATGTTGTTATGAGCCTTCAAGTCATTTCTGACGTGGCAACCCTAAGGTGAACCTATCATGGGGGTTTATGTGACTGAAAGTGTATGACTTGACCCAGGTCAACTAATGGATTTCCATTGTTCAAATTGTTGTTCAGGCTCCAATTTAGAAAAGTCAGCATGGCATAGTGGTTTGAGCACTGGACTACAATTCAGGAGATCAGGGTTTGATTCCCGATTGACCACGAAGCCCATTGTAAAGTCATAGGCTTTCATGGGCGGCATCCATAGGTTTTTGTGGGTTTTTCGGGCTGTGTGGCCATGTTCTAGAAGAGTTTCTTTCTGACGTTTCACCAGCATCTGTGGCTGGCATCTTCAGAGAATACTGTAATAGAAGAGAGTGGGTCTATAAGCCCATTGGTCATGAAGCCCATTGGTGGGCAAGTCACATGCTCTCAGCATCAGAAGTAGGCAATTCATGGAATAAACCTTGCCAAGAAAACCCCATGATAGGGTCACTGGAAATAACTCAAAGGCAGAAAACACACAGGCACACACAGACACACTTTAAATTTAGGCAGGTCCCTGAAGAACCTCTGGGTACTTACTGATGACATGTTTCATTGGGGAAGATGGGCAGGGAAGGAAATGCAGCCCACACTGCAGTTAACCATATCTCCCTCCCAAACAATGCAACCTGGTATATTTACAATATGACAGTTGTGGTGATGGGAACCATCACTATAAGGCATGCAACAGAGCAACAGAATAGCCTGACTTTTATTGGGACAGTTAGCCATCTGGAGGAATTCTCCAAAACCATCCTCGGGCAAGGAAAATAGAGATAACATTGCATACTCAATTCTTCCTCCCAGTCTTGTTTCTTTCCTCCCCTCAAAGCCTTCTTATGACCCTTGATCTCTTAGCACCAGAAGAACATGTTTCTACAAAATACAGGTTATGGTCATGCTAGCTTTTGCAAAAGTCAGATCAGGTTTGACCCACATGAAAGAATCTGATGCAGGGAGAAAATGCATGTAGTCATTGGTAAGAATATTGTCAAACTGGATCTGTAGCCACTTCCTCATGACCTTCTTCAGCAAAGTCATTAGAAAAATAGGTAATAGAATTTGGGAGAACAATGTTTCTCATTTCAATGGATGGATAAGTTCAATATATCTAAGGCTGCATCTACACTGTAGTTTGACACTGCTATAACTGCCATAGCTCAATGTTATGGAATGCTGGGATTTGTAGTTTTGTGAGATATTTAGCCTCAGAGAGTTCTGGTGTCACAACAAACAACAAATCCCAGGATTCTATCGGATGGAGCCATGACACTTAAAGCAGTGTTACAGTTAACTCTGCAGTGTGGCAGCTGCTTAAATATCCATCTGTCCGTCCACATACTCATAGTGTAAAATACTTGGATTATTGAACAAAATATTGGATAATAAATCCAAATGGTGTGTTAGAAAACTTGATCAGTTGGCAAACATGCCTAGAATAAGCCCAGAAACTCTGCTTGGAGTTGTGCCAGTAAAATTGTCAGATACTGTAAGAGAAACAGGATCTTTTTGATGCTGTCTCAAACACTATGGAATTTATGAACTTCCCAATGAGCTGCACTTCACCTTATGATTACAAATCTTTGAAATGGCTTTAAAATGAAAAATTATTTCAGGTCTCTGTTTCATAAAATTTACAATGGAGTCTATTAATGATGGGGTACAGTTTGTTACATTTTTTAATCTAGTGTTTCATAATTGTTTGGAGATATTGGCAGGCATCCTGTTAATGACATTTGTTGTTGTTGTGTGTCTTCAAGTTCTTTTTGACTTGAAAAAAGGAACCTATCATGGGGTTTTCTTGGCAAGTTTCTTCAGAAGGGGTTTG